TGCGAAACTTATTGTCTCTCAAATCAAGCCCAATGACTGGTTTGTGACAATAGATTTTTCGGAACTTACCAATATCGAGTACTTCTATTTACCTAGCCTTGTCACCTCACAGCTTCACAAAGAGCACGGATGTAGCTCTGGCTGTGTTGTGATTCCAGGGCATTTAGGACTCCATTACATCAACGACTGGCTGATCCAAGCTCAGTTCAAGGAAATGGAGATTCGGCATTAAGTTATTGTCCTCACTCTCATGAAGTGTTTGGAGTTAAGACTAAACTCAATGAAGAGTGTGCTTTCTCAACTACAGAGAACCACTTTTCTAGGGGTGATTTGGGACCTGCATTGACTACAGTGCAGGCGTATCTGGCTCCTGCTCTTATCGAGTCAATACTTTCAGCCATAGGCAAAATCAGGCCAGGCCAAGCTGCTTCCCTCCTGGGCTGGGTTGCGGTCCTAGATGGCCGCTCAATTCAGGGTCTGTGGTGAGGTCTTCATCTTTCATGAAACATAAAGAGCTTGGAGATTAGCGCTGTATTTCTATGCTTTTTCCCAGATCTCAGAGTCTACCATGTCCTTGTCCATTCAAACAACATCAGTAGTCTCATACACAAATCACCAGGAAGGTCTTTTTTTGCACACTCTCTATGCAGATTTCCGCAATAGATCCTCCTCTGGTTTAAATCCCTGGGCATCTAAATAATGACTCCACCCAGAAAAAGGTTCAGCCAGGCAGAAGTGGACTTGTTCTCATTAGAAGAAATGGCGCACTGTCTGCCCTGGCTCTCCCTCAAGCGAATCCAACTCTTTTGAGGTTGGATGCCATGGTTCAGACTTGGCTGAGGCTATATCTGTACTCATTTCCCCCAATCAATCTGCTCCTGGGAGTTTTAGAGTGGTTTTCTAGGACGGGGTTCGTCTGTTAATAGTCGCCCCATTCTGGCCGTCACAAGTTTGGTTCTCGGAGTCTCTGGTGTCTCTCCTGGACGGCTCTCCACGGGAGATTGCCGTCAGGAGGTAACTTATGTCTCAAGTAGGAGGCAATATTTATCACCACAGTTTGGAAATATGGAATCTGTGGGTTGGGCCCCTGAGGGGGTAATAAACTCTTGGAACTATCGTCTCTTAAACGAGGTTGTGGAGACCATCCTTTACTCTGGAGGAAACTTTATGCATTTAAGTGGTCACTCTTCGCTTTATGGTGCAGAGAGCATCATTTGGACACAGTCAACTGCCCGGTTGGTTCAGTGCTGGAGTTCCTTCAGGATTCAATTTCTGCTGGGTTAACACCCTTCACATTGAAGGTGTACGTGGTGGCCATTGCTGTTTACCATACCTGTCGGAGTTGAGTCTTTGGAGAGACAAATTAGTGTCTCATTTCCTACATGGTACTCTACAGTTATACTGTGCAGCCCTGCATGTTATGCAAGAGTTCCGGCCTGGGACTTGGCTGTAGTACTATGGCACCCTTTGAGCCTAGAGTCAGCTGCAGATAAATTTCTGTCTCTTAAAGGATTAGTTCACTTTTGAAAAAACTTTTGCTGATAATTTACTCTCCCCCATGTCATCCAAGATGTCCATGTCTTTCTTTCCTCAGTCGAAAAGAAATTTAGGTTTTTGATGAAAACATTCCAGAATTTTTCTCCATATAATGGACTTCAATGGGAACCGGATGGTTCAAGGTCCAAAAGATAGTGTTAATAACAGTTTCAGATGCAGCTTCAAATGTCTTTAAACGACACCAGACGATGAATAAGGGTCTTATCATGCGAAACGATCGGTTATTTCAAAACTTATTCCAAAAATGTAACTTTTCTAAGGACAAAAGCTAGCCTTGCTATATTCTCTGAGGCGCGTTTGTAACGTCACGTAATACGTAATTACGTTCAAAAGGTCACGGCGACGTAGCCGGAAGTACAGAATCAAATTCGTCCGACATCGTTGTTTTTCCTTTTAATTCCTTTTTTTGTAAACGGCGTTTGAGTTAGTTTGCACGTTCAACTTGTAAACACTGACTCTGTACTTTCGGCTACGTCGCCCGTGACCTTTTGAACGTAATTACGTAATACGTGACGTTGCAAACGCGACTCACAGAATAGAGCAAGGCTAGCATTTGTCCTTAGAAAAGTTACATTTTTGGAATAAGTTTTGGAATAACCGATCGTTTCGCATGATAAGACCCTTATTCATCGTCTGGTGTTGTTTAAAGACATTTGAAGCTGCATCTGAAACTGTTATTAACTGTCTTTTGGACCTTGAACCATCCGGTTCCCATTGAAGTCCATTATATGGAGAAAAATCCTGGAATGTTTTCATCAAAAACCTAAATTTCTTTTCGACTGAGGAAATAAAGACATGGACATCTTGGATGACATGGGGGTGAGTAAATTATCAGCAAAAGTTTTTTCAAAAGTGAACTAATCCTTTAATATGGCATTCTTACTTGGAATTACCTTGTTTAAAGGAGTAGAAGATCTGCAGGCCCTGTCTGTTGCCTTCTCCTGCTTAAGGTCCCGATATACTCAAGGCAAAGTTATTTTTCGATCTTCCTTTTTAGGTAAAATTTAGGTTGAAATACGTGAGCAGCGATATACAGTTAGCGAACATCTGACACTGCCCACACTGCTGAGAGCAATAGTTAGATGAATATGTAAATATATGTTGCGCTCTTTCCTCTCAGTTTACCAAGAGGTTTTGAACACCACAAACTGACGATTGTGGAAATTGAACTGAAATTGAACTGATTATCAATTTTGAAAACGGTTTTTGCTGCTTAACATATTTGTGAAAACAAGGATACCATTCAAACATTTGTAGTAAGATAAAAAAGAGTTGTGTTAATAATTAAATTGATCAAAGGTGACAGTTGCGAACATTTTTAATGATGCAAAATATTTGTATTTAAAGGGACACTCCTCCCATTTGCATTAAGATTTCCATTGTTAGAAATCCAGTCATACTATTGAATGGTCGTGCAACACTCTCTCATTTTCCGCTGAAAATATAAAATAAAAAATTTCCGCGAGAGAAATCAGCTATTTACCTTTTTCACTTCCTCCTACAGTGACTAATCAAAAATCGTCATTTTACGTCATTGTAGGAGGGAGGATTTCTGTAAAGACTACAAGCACTAGTCCCCACCCTTTCAAACCCGCCCATAGGGGGTTGGACCTAATGCGCTAACAGGCTTATGACAGATCAGTGCCAGTGCGTTTGATTTCACCCGCAGAAACTTTTTGAAAATATGGACTAAGGAACTGAATACGCAGACGGATGCATTATGGATAGGGTTGGGTACCTAAACGCGGTGCTAATAGGGAACCAGTTCCCATGTAAACGGTATTAACCAGACCGAATAAGAACGAAAATTTTGGTGCCCGAGTCTCTGTGTCATGATGCGCACACACGCAAAGTCTCTTGCTCTCTCCCTCTCCCTCAGGCACGCACTATACGGTTTGGAGCACAGTCTGTTCTGTCTCGCATTCGCGCTCTAGCTCACTCGCTCAAGATTCCGGGAGATTTTAACTAATTTGCAGGGCATTAGGGAGCCATTATCAATATGCGGGAGACTACCGGAACGTCTGATAGCGAGGGGATTAATGAAGATGCCGAAGACAAAACGCTCCAAGGTTTGACTGCATTTCACGTGTAAAATTATGCGTCAGAGTAAGTGTGGCGATTGAAGCCCATATAGAATCACGCCAATCCATTGACTGATGGCACTGGCGCCGCCTTGACGCTCTTACATCATCACATTACAGTATATTAGTGTGCATTATCTGATTTCATTGTGCAAAATGATTTCCAGGTGGTAGCTTAGAGTGGAGCTCAACTCTAGTCTGCATTGAAGGACGGAGTAGTGGGAGTGGCCTGTGGAGCTGAGCATTGCAATGCACTATGGGGATTGTTGTTTACAATCCACAAGCACATTTTCTGGACCCAAATGAGAAATTTCACTTTCGATACATATTCATGTCTCCACCAGTGGAATTACTATTTAATGAATGCTTTAATAAATTTAATAAGTTTAATAAATACAAATTAATGCTGTTTATTGAACTTTGTATTCATCAAAGAAGCCTGAAAAAAGTATCAGCATATCAACAAAAATGTTAAACAGCACAACTCTTTTCAACATTGGTAATACCATCAATAATAATAAATGTTTCTTGAGCAGCAAACAATTTCAGTAGGATCATGTGACGCTGAAGACTGGAGGAATAATGCTGAAAATTCAGTTTTTCCATGAGAATAATAAATTCTGTTTTAAAATATATTAAAATAGAAAACTTTTCATTTCTAACATCAGGGTTTCGTAATATTTGTAATAAGTAATATTACTGTTTTTACTGTATTTTTTTATTAAATAAATGCAGTCGTGGTGAGCATAAGAGACTTATTTAAAAAATATATATACATTTTTAAAAAGTTTCTAAACTTTTTACAATTGTTTAATAAATTTTATCATCTCTCCATGAGTTGTAATAGTGATCAAGAAAAATAAAAATATATTTATGTTAAGAGGCCTGTACATGCTATCCCAAGATACTTCAAAGACTACAATGGTCCTTTAATACACGTAAAATAATAATATAACATTACCATGGCAAAATTATGAACAACCCATAATAATACCATGGCACTTTTTTTTTAAACACGTTATATATATATATATATATGTGATTACACTAATGTCCCCTTAAGCGTACATTTAAACATACATTTATGCACTTAAGCCCCCTTAAACATGCGAACATTTGGAGCTATTTCAGCTTGAAATCTGCAAACTTAATAAAGCCCTTTTCGTGTATTTTTCTGAGCAGATACTGATATCATGCATTTAATTCAATTAAAATGTTGAAATTCATTACTAGCCCTAACAAATGTTCTTTTCTTTTCCAGCACTCCGCTCCGAAAAGCACGTGCGCTCTACGCCTGCAAGGCTGAGCATGACTCTGAGCTGTCCTTTATCGCAGGGACCATATTCGACAATGGTACGTCTCCGTTTTTAAACCTCAGAATCTGTCCTATATTTGGTTAGTTAGGAAGGTTGGAGCCTTGAGCGTTGGCGTAGGAGCAGCGAATCGATATATGTTCCACCTCCTGCCCCTCAACAGGTATTAGAGATCGCACCTTCCACGGTTTGACATTTGACACTGTGGAGCAGTAGATTAGATTAGTGTTTAATGAAACCTCAGACGTGCTGCACTGCAAGATTCAATAGAGGCTTCAAATTCTCCAGATGATTCTCCTGTTTTTTTTTTGGTTGAGGGGATAGAGATAGTCAACTTCTTTTAGAACTCAGGGATGAGTCTACATTTTTTTAGGTGGTAAACCAACATTAAACAACAGATGCCACATATAGAGCTTAACTTGAATCCAGAACACTTATTCCTTTGTGCACTGGGGGAAAAAGAGGATAACCAGAGGATAAAGTTGTCGGTAACACTTTACTTGAAGGGTTGTGCATAAGACTGTGTGTCATGAATATGAAATAGGGTTTATGCATGTTTATGACAACCGTTATTAAGTGTCATTTGCTCAGTTATGACATTTTGAAGGCAAATATGACATTGTTTAAGATGTCTTTGACATAAACCAATACATCATTACCTGTCATGACAAATTGACATTAAATGAAGTTAAACTGTCTTGTGGTTGGCTTTGACATTGGCTGTCATGAGGCCATTATAACTGTGTCATGAATATTTTTCGTGACCTCAACTACAGTGGTACTACTATTAAAAAGTTATAATGACCTCATGGCAGGCAATGTCAAAACCAACCACCTGACAGTTGAATGTAATGTTAACCAATAAAGCTAGGTGGTTTCTTAAGTTTGATAATTAATCTGCTATGTCATGTTTATGACAGGTTGTGTTGTCTTAGTAATGTCAAGTTGTCATGACAAAGACATCTCAAACAATGTCATATTTGCATTAAAAATGTCATAACTGAGCGAATGACACTTAATGACAGTTGTCACAAACATGCATAAAACTTTCTTCATATTCATAACATATGTCATCATGTCATGATTATGAAAGTGTCATGTCAGTCTTATGCACACCCCTTCAAGTGAAGTGTTACCAAGTTGTCAATGCGACCCAAAAACAATCTTCCTTTTTGCATTTTTGTCTCATAGTTCATCGGTCTAGAGAGCCAGGTTGGCTGGAGGGCACCTTGGATGGGAAGACGGGGTTGATTCCGGAGAACTACGTGGAGTTTGTTTAGACGCTGTTGGTTGGAGTCTTTGGCGAGGCAAAAGAACTGGACTTCGACAGAAAAGCCACATTAGCATGCCATACGTTATGGGTTTTTGGCAACTGTGGCATTTCACTAGCGCATCATTGTCCCACATATCCCACAGCGCACTGCAGCTGTTTAAAAAAGGGAACCGAGAACAAGAAAAAAAAAATGGGACCAAGTTGCCGCTGCCGCTTCGGCCACAATCAACAAAGTCTTAGATTTTCAAACAGGGCTTATCATATATATATATATATATATGAGCACTTCCTGGTTCACCATGATGTAATATGTGCTGTTTCTATGCATTCTGGGGCTTTTTGAATGTTTTTCATGTCTTCCAGGTCCTCGTAACTGTTTTGTTTAGAACTACTAAGAGATAACTGTTAATTATGGGGGTGAAAACTATTGCACTCTTTTGTATATCAGGAAGCAATTATTATTATAATTTTTTTTAGAATTTAATTTTTTCTCCTTTCTTAGCATGTAAGTGGAAAAGCGTAAATTATTTCTTAATGTGAATTAACGTCATGTAAACCACTCTTATTTAAGCATAATCTCTGATGAGATGTGTGTTCTTTTGGAGTGTATTAACATTGTAAATAAGTGACAATTGATAAGGTATAATTTTTTTTTGTAAAATGTGAATTATATATATTTTTATTGTAGCAAACTAACTTAATTTTTTTGATAGCCCAATTGATCTTTTTACATTAAAAAAAAAAAAAGTGTACAATTTTATGAGCCTTAATATTCTTTAGAATATTGAATAAATAAAAACATGGTTCAGTTGTTTTGATTTTTTTTCTATTCAATAAAAATCTACAATAAACTTTCATTTAAATACAAATTTATGCAGATGTATTTATTCTTTTTAGGGGGTTGTTAGAAATTGCTTGATTTAATTGAAATACTACGGAAGCCCTGAACCGCAACCTAAAAAAAAAAAAATCTGTAAAAAAAAAAAAAATCTGTAAAAAAAAAAAAAAATCTTGCATTTCGAGATTAAAGTCGAAATGTTTCGAGATTAAAGTCGAAATGTTTCGAGATTAAAGTCGAAATGTTTCGAGATTAAAGTCGGAATGTTTCGAGATTAAAGTCGGAATGTTTCGAGATTAAAGTCGAAATGTTTTGAGATTAAAGTCGAAATGTTTCGAGATTAAAGTCGAAACATTGTGCATTCATAACAGTGCGCGTCCACTGGCTCAGAGCGCGTGCGTGTGCGTGTGAAGTCGAACTGCCATGGATAAACACAAAATAGTAGCTTTTTTCTTTTATCTGAATTACTTATCTTACTTATATAATTCTAAATATAAATATCTTCTCTTCTCTTCTAAATATAATGCGCCGGAATAGACTTTAGCCTATAGGAAAACCAACACGGAAAACACTTTTCAGACTGGATGGAGAAATCCAGCTTTATGAATGAATGAATGAATGAATGAATGAATAGGGCATTTATATAGCACTTTCATATATGCCTACACTCAAAGTGCTTTACAATCATATCAGAGAATCTCTCCTCAACCATAAGTGGTTATTAAATCTTAGGAAATCACAGGATCCGGCCAAATGATTGGATACAGAATGATGCACTTAAAATGTATCCAGAGCGTAAATATATTTACCAGGCATGTGATTGGCTAAGGACAAAAAAGCAGGAAAATATAGTATTTTATATAGTATGTAGTATATAGTTTTATAGTATTTAAATATAGTAATTTTCCATAGTAAATTTTTCCCTATGGATGTCAATGGGGACCAGCAACTGTCTGGTTACCCACATTCTTCAAAATATCTTTTTTGTTCAGCACAAGAAATAAATTAATACAGGTTTGGAACAACATTAAAGTGAATAAACAATGACAGAATTTTTATTTTGGGGTCAACTCTCCCTTTAAGAACAAGCGGCTGCATGTTTATTATTAGGGCTACTGTCACTTTAAGACCTATGCGCGACGCGTCTAATATACACGGAGCATTTGACAAGCAGATTTCTCTCAATTTTCTCGGTTTGCTTTGAGTTTAGACATAACCAAATGTTTTTATGTAAACCTTGTGTGTATTTGAGAGTAATAGCGAAATAATACTCAAGATAACTTAGTCCAGCAACCAGGCGCTGTTAGACAAGCTTTTAGTACATGTGCACGTCGGGTGTTCGCGCTTAGAACACTGCGGTCAAGTGGGCCGCGCGTGGAAAATACACGGTCAAGCTAGCCGCACATTTTTTTTTTTTTTGCATGCGCGTCAAATCCTGCAGTTACGGTATGGGTGCTGAAGGACGCCAAAATTGATTTTGACTCTTTTGCCTGATATTTTCCATCGTATTAGGACACAAATAATACAATTTCATGATCTTTTCTAAACACATGACTTTTAATATTGTTTGTTTGTTGTTATTGTAATGTTTCTAGGCTTAAATATTAATTATACCAATTATAATGTATTCATGTTCATATTATTAAACATTATCATACATTTTTATTGTTAATATTTACGTTTTTTAGACACTACTTTCTGCTATTTTCCATCTTGTTCGGAGACAAAATATATATATATTTTTAAAAAACATGACTTTTTCATTTTTTAATATTATTTTAATGTTTGTAGGCCTATATGATTTACATTAATTTAAATTTTATTTTTAAAGATTTAATTTATTCATGCTCATGTTAATGTTAATTATCATACATCATTTTTTACATGTAATTGTTAATTATGAATGTTTATGAATGTATGTATATATATATATATATATATATATAATTTGATTTTTTTATTATACATTATTATTGGCTACTTTATTAATGTAAATTAAATTGAATATTAATATTAATTATCGATAAATTTATTTAGCATTTTTTTTGTTGAATTTAATGTTTGTAAATGTATACACTCATTATTAATATATGTAATGATTAGGGATGGGTACCGAAACCCGGTATTAAACGGGCCCCGGTACTGAATTTTGAAAGACCGCTGTATCGATAAGCTCGGACGTTATCGGTTCTGCTGTCGGTACTGGAGAAATTATTTATTATTCCTATAAAGACGTTATCTTGAACATGTTTATATGGCCAGCCATTTCTATATATAAACTATATTTTAATTAAACCATTTGTCTGTGATGCAAATTTGACATTCACAGTTCAGAAGAGAGAGAGCGATCAAAAGTCATTTTACTGTATAGTTTTGGAGAAAAGTTCAGGCAAACCCAGCCCAATCATCAAAGCGTGTTATAGCACTTAAACCAAAAAGTCGTTAGGTCCAATAGGTCGTTGGTGTCAAAATGTCAAAAACCAATAGGTCGTTATGGTAAGTTTAAGTTTCAGTTTAAATGTAAGTTTCTAGTTTGAGGGAGTGAAACCGTGACATCTACACGTTTTCCAAAGTGGACCAAAGTGATTATTTCACGTCTTGTCGGCTGGAGAAATGTTGTTTTGGCCACTTTGTTTGATAAAATCACAACAATTTAATGTAAGCAAGAATGGGATTTGAACTCAGGTCTTCTTGATTGAAGCCCAATGCTTTATCAACTGAGCCACTGAATGTGTTGAGTTCAAGGTTGTATTGGATGGATTTTTATTGCGGGTTATTTGTTGGAAAAATAAATATAGAAAGAATTTGACACAAGAGGGCAGTATAGCCCTATTTATGGTTTTGAGTTTAAACTATCACTGCAGTTAAACCGTGACATCTACACATTTTCCGAAGTGGACCAACGTGATTATTTCACGTCTTGTCGTGATGGGTTGGGCACTGAAGTTACAGGAGTTTCTTCTCGTTGCTAAACAACAGAACTAGGTCGAGTATTTAAAAGGTTATGGTTAACATGGTTAACGTGGTTTAACGTCGATGTAATACGTTGTTTTAGCGTACCTTTTGCTTAAACGAGGAGCTGGGGGACACCGGAAAAACAGAGCCAGACAGTATCGGAGTACATTTACTTGAAGAGGGCCATGAGACATAGACCTGAGTGCAACAATGGAGGCTCTAGACCCTTCCAGTGCTGAGATATCGAAACTCAAAATTTCGACCCGAAAAAAAAAAGACAGTGGTACCCCTTACGTTTTTTTTTTTGGGCGAAAAATTAAGTTTCTCCCATCTTCCCAAAACTCTGGATTCTGATAGAGGGCAATGAGACTTGGACCTGAGTGCAAAAATGGAGACTCTAGCCCCTTCCAGAGCTGAGATATCGAAACTCAAAAATTCGTCCCGAAAAAAAACCCCACAGTGGTACCCCTTACGTTTTGTTTTTTTTTTCGGGTGAAAAATTAAGTTTCTCCAATCTTCCCAAAACTCTGGATTCTGATAGAGGGCCATGAGACTTAGACCTGAGTGCAAAAATGGAGGCTCTAGCCCCTTCCAGAGCTGAGATATCGAAACTCAAAATTTCGGCCCGAAAAAAAAAAACGACAGTGGTACCCCTTACGTTTTTTTTTTTTTGGCGAAAAATTAAGTTTCTCCAATCTTCCCAAAACTCTGGATTCTGATAGAGGGCCATGAGACTTAGACCTGAGTGCAAAAATGGAGGCTCTAGCCCTTCCAGAGCTGAGATATCGAAATTAAAAATTCGACCCGAAAAAAAAAACCACAGTGGTACCCCTTACGTTTTTTTTTTTTCGGCGAAAAATTAAGTTTCTCCAATCTTCCCAAAACTCTGGATTCTGATAGAGGGCCATGAGACTTAGACCTGAGTGCAACAATGGAGGCTCTAGCCCCTTCCAGAGCTGAGATATCGAAACTCAAAATTCGGCCCGAAAAAAAAACGACAGTGGTACCCCTTACGTTTTTTTGGGGGGCGAAAAATTAAGTTTTTCCAATCTTCCAAAACTCTGGATTCTGATAGAGGGCCATGAGACTTAGACCTGAGTGCAAAAATGGAGGCTCTAGCCCTTCCAGAGCTGAGATATCGAAACTAAAAAATTCGCCCGAAAAAAAACGACAGTGGTACCCCTTACTTTTTTTTTTGGGCGAAAAATTAATTTCTCCAATCTTCCCAAAACTCTGGATTCTGATAGAGGGCCATGAGACTTAGACCTGAGTGCAAAAATGGAGGCTCTAGCCCCTTCCAGAGCTGAGATATCGAAACTCAAAAATTCAGCCCAAAAAAAAACGACAGTGGTACCCTTACGTTTTTTTTTTTTTTTGGGCGAAAAATTAAGTTTCTCCAATCTTCCCAAAACTCTGGATTCTGATAGAGGGCCATGAGACTTAGACCTGAGTGCAAAAATGGAGGCTCTAGCCCTTCCAGAGCTGAGATATCGAAACTCAAAAATTCGGCCCGAAAAAAAAACGACAGTGGTACCCTTACGTTTTTTTTTGGGCGAAAAATTAAGTTTCTCCAATCTTCCCAAAACTCTGGATTCTGATAGAGGGCCATGAGACTTAGACCTGAGTGCAAAAATGGAGGCTCTAGCCCCTTCCAGAGCTGAGATATCGAAACTCAAAAATTCGGCCCGAAAAAAAAAAGACAGTGGTACCCCTTACGTTTTTTTTTTGGCGAAAAAATTAAGTTTCTCCAATCTTCCAAAACTCTGGATTCTGATAGAGGGCCATGAGACTTAGACCTGAGTGCAAAAATGGAGGCTCTAGCCCTTCCAGAGCTGAGATATCGAAACTCAAAAATTCGGCCCGAAAAAAAAACGACAGTGGTACCCCTTACGTTTTTTTTTTTTTTGGGCGAAAAATTAAGTTTCTCCAATCTTCCCAAACTCTGGATTCTGATAGAGGGCCATGAGACTTAGACCTGAGTGCAAAAATGGAGGCTCTAGCCCCTTCCAGAGCTG